TACCTCCACCACCAGGTGTTATTGTGTTTAGACCTACACAATCCTGGACTTATACGAATTGTTCAAGACAATTCGACAAGGTGTTTGATGAAGTTCAAGAGAAGACCAGAAAGGGTAAGCTCAAACCAATTACGAATAACATGGAGAGACCATGGAACGATCCTGGTCCTTTAAGATTGCCTTGGAAAAAGATTGATCAAAATGCAACCAAAATTGAAGACAATAGACCAGTTCTTAAAGTTGTTGCATTCGATTTCAGTTCAACTCCTCAAGTGGATTCTACAGGTATACAAACTTTAGTAGATTTGAAGAAGACTTTGAACAAGTATGCTGACCGTGAAGTTGAATACCACTTTGCTGGAATTCTGAGTCCGTGGATCCGTCGTGCTTTGATCAATGCTGGTTTCGGTGTCGCTAGAGATGATGGTGCAGTGGGTGCTGCCTCATATTACAACGTTTTGGACGATAGTGATGCAGTATTGGGATACTCTCCAGCTTTGGACACCAATACTCCATTCTTCCACTTGGAATTACCATCTTTTGACCACCACGGTGCTGCTACAGAGTTAGAAGACCAATCTGCTGAGAAGAACTAATAGAGGATATACCTGTTAATTGAACCTTTAATATTTGGGGGTGTTTTTGATGGTTGTTTCGAGGCACCAATGCTTCTTAGAACAACTGATGATGAGTTTTTTATTAAGTATGTAAATTTTGGATTTTATAAGTTTTGATTTATTTTATTAAGTACAGCTACGTTGCTACAATCTGTAGATGAAGATAGGGAGTTTGATTGATTGTTACATGGTATTCAATTTCATTTCATTTCATTTGTCCATATCGTCTTCAGGGATTAGTGGACAGTGTAGATCGTACCATTCTTCACCACCATGATTACACTTGCTCTTACCCTTTGTGATAAATCCAACTCTATTGTAGAAAGGCAACAAGTTTTCCTTTGCAATTATGGCAATCTTATCACCAACGTATTGGTTTGAGAGTTTCTGTATGTAGTCGTGTAGTAATAACGTAGCAAGGTTCTTCTTCTGGTATTCTGGATGCACCACTATGGAATGGATGCCCACAGTTAACGAGGACTCAACATGGCCGTACAACACACCCTGTGGGGATTTAGACCCCAATTCTGCGGTTGGCCTGCCCATTGATTCCTCTGTTATGAATTCACCGTCAACCTTTGTACCAATGACATGGCCTATGAGACGTTCCTTGACTATTGTGGATTTGGCCTCCGGTAGATAAGGGTCCTCCTCGTGTTCGTCATCGTCCTTATTCTTCTTGGTAACGTGCATGTCTTCACCTTCATCTTTGCTCAGTGTCTCACCCTTGTTTTGATACTTCGGTTTGAATTCTCTTATGAACAAACCTGACGCCAATTCAGGGCACACTGTTAGTCTGTACTGTAGCGTATCCTTTGTACATCTCTCCGATGGTGGGAACCCTAAGACTTCAAGTGACAAGACCTGGTCCAAATCTTCAACGTTCAATGGTCTAATGGCCAAATGTAGTGGGAGTTCAGAGCTCATATCGTGATAAGTATATCCTTCTGAACGATGTAATGGGGGTGTAGGGGTGTAGGGGTGAGGGAGGTTGGACAAGTCGTGCAGCTTGGGTTTGGCTTTTTTTCCCTGTGTCTAAACTTTTTTGTTTGTCTCTTTACCATCTTGCTAAACATCCATACACCACCAGACAATTGGTAGGTGCTGTTGTCCCTTTCACAGGCGCTTTTATAAGAGAGACACAAGACAAATCGGACTACGCTGTGGGGGTTGACGAAAATAATTGTCCAAATGTCCTCTGTTTGTGTAGCTATAACTGGATGTTTGTCGGTTGTAGTGTGCTTGTCAGCACACCTACGGTTGGCATAAGTCCTTAGGCATTTGTCCGATGAGAGAACGGTTTCAGGACTAACGTGATGAGATGAATCACAATAGAGTGGAAGTTGTAGAACATGATCAAATCTTTATATGTAGCCATAACCAGTAAACCTATAGACGTTATAACTTCTAATTGTATGGCTAGACATATCCTTGTTTCTCCTGTTTTAAACGACTCGAGTCGAAGCGCAGTCTAGCTACACTGGAAAAAGAGACATGGTATGCACCACAAAGGGTCGGCAGGATCAAAATGTTTGGACATTTGGCTTTTTCCTCTAATACAAACAAGAGAAAACGGTTCCAAAGCAGCTGTCACAAAAGGTACACATAAAGATGTCAACAGAAGCACCAGTATCACATATCATACCCTTAGAGCTTGTTGACAAGTGTATTGGCTCTAAAGTATGGGTTCTCATGTCTGGTGATAAGGAATTTGTCGGAACAGTTGTTGGATTTGACGACTTTGTCAACATGGTGTTGGAAGACGTTGTGGAATATGAGGCTGATGGCTCACAAGTACATAGAAAGAAGATTCTCTTAAGTGGAAACCATATAACTATGTTGATTCCAGGAGGGGAAAGACCACAGTAATACTGAAAAAGAAGTTTTTATTCTATCACTATGTAGACAAAACGTCAATGTCCGTAGAACTGGCTCTCCACATAACAAGCATAAACGCAGTTCTATGAGGTTTGAAGATATCTGCAATATACTGAACGTATGCGTCGTGTATGACTTTCCAGTCTCTTTTCTTCTTGTCGTCAAACGTTGATCTCTTTTTGAAATTAGAAAGATCAACTTCTTTCTTTGCCATTGAGAGCAGTTGTGGTCGTCCTTCTAAATAACGGGACATCGCCCTTGCAACGCCTAAATCGTCATGTGCAAACACATCCCATCTATGCAATCCAAAGACCATGGTCATCTTTGCACTCCATTCCCCAATTCCCTTGATCTCAACCAATTTCTTCAAAATATCTTCATCTGATGCATCTTGTAGGAACTTGGCGTTTATCTCTCCACTGTGAAACTTTTGTGCGATGCTCTTGATGTATTCGCTTTTCCTGTTAGATATACCACACTCACGCAGTTCCTCAACAGTCGCATCTAGCACTTGTTGAGGTGTAGGAAGCACACCACCGTAGTGGGACTTGAACTTGAATTCTATGGATTTGGCACTGGCTCCACTAACTTGTTGTCCGATGATGGTGCGGCATAGTCCACCAAAGTGTTCCATATCAGTGCTTCGAGGTTTCACACTAATGGCAAACTGTTCAAACGGTTTAAATACAATTAACGGGTACAACGAAGGCTCCTTAGAGATGATGTACTCTAATCCTTTGCCGAACTCTGGAATATGATGGTCCAAAAAGCTCTGCGGAAGCTTAAGATCACTGGGAATTGGATACCTGTGAAGAAGTTGTTCTTCCCATTCTTTGAACGTTGATCGCTTTCCAGACCTTTTGGTCTTTTTTGCTACAACATCAACAACAAGGTCTTTAGTATTGGACCTAAGTCTTCTCTTGGACATTTCCCATGCAATTAGTAATGCTTTGGGAGATTGATTGGATGGCGAAATTAGGTTTGCCCCCCAGATTGTGCCAAAAAACAAAATCAAGAGGCAGACAGACACTCTCGGCGATCTATTTAAAAAGTGTGAGAATCAGGACAGGACAATTTATAAATAGTTCCGGCATTACAACGACGCACCGAAAAAGGACAAAAGGTTAAACTTAAGAGCCCGAAGATGGTGAGCTTATCAGCAGCAGTGGACGAGACAGGGTATGTCTTCTCGATTGAAGTCCCAGATGACCTAGCCTGGGGAGACTTTAAGGCTTATCTGAGCGCAGAGACTGGCATCGAGCCAGAAGATCAAGTTATTCAACTCAACGGCAAGGAATTGAACGGAGAAATTACAGAGACCTTGGAACAATTAGGCCTGAAAAATGATGAGATGCTTATCATTAAGAAGAGATCGAATCATGAACCGGGTAGAGACACCCATGGTGGAATATCTCTCGGTCGCTCTGTCGGCCCAGATCAACGTATCGAGATGTTGAGACAAGAGCTATTGCGTAACCCGGAGATGAGAAGACAAGTGTCACAGATGAACCCGGTTATTGATCAGTGTATTGATGATGCTGAAAGGTTCAGAGATGTTGTTGGTCCAGCTTTGGAGCAGACAGGGCTGCTGCAAGGCGGTGGCCAACAGCTGCCAGGTGGTGTCTCGTCGGAAGAGTGGATGAGACTTCAACAAGACCCAGACAATCCAGACAATCAGAAGAGGATAATGGAGCTGATTGAACAAGACCAAATCGAAGAGAACATGCGTGCGGCGTTGGAGATGACACCAGAGAGTTTTGCCTCTGTGACGATGCTGTACATCAACGTTGAGGTCAACGGTCATCCTGTAAAGGCATTTGTCGATTCAGGTGCGCAAACTACGATCATGAGTACTCGGCTTGCTGAGAGCTGTAACCTGACAAGGCTAATAGATAAGAGGTTCAAAGGAGAGGCCCGTGGTGTCGGTAAGACTGAAATTGTTGGTAGAATACACAGTGCACAGTTGAAGATTGAGGATCGATTCATTCCCTGCAGTTTCACCGTCTTGGACACACACGTGGATATGTTGTTAGGTTTGGACATGTTGAGAAGACATCAGGCTTGTATTGATCTGAAGAACAACAAATTGGTGATTGAAGGTATTGAGACGGAGTTTCTCCCAGAGGCTGAAGTCCCAAAGGAACAACTCCTTGCAGGAGGCCAACAATTGGGCACTTCTGAGCCAAAACAAGCGAAGTTGCCTTCATCCACACAATCGTCATCATCAGCTTCATCCACAGCAGCAGCAGCAGCAGCGGCTGCTGCTGAATCCAGAAGCAGAGCACGTTCTTCAGTTCAGCAACCGCAGCTCAAAGTTGACGAGTCGGTTGTATCCAATCTAATGGCACTGGGATTCTCTAGAGATGAAGTTATTAGGGCACTACAGCAAGCCGGGGGAAACGCAGAGATTGCAGCGTCGTTGTTGTTCCAATGACTTATATAATAAAAGTAGTGACACTTCAATTGCCAACATCGCTATATTTCCTGTCGTTTGTATTTAGGAAAGTCAATGTTGGATGGTTACCAACAACGTCTTTCGACAGCCCACTCCATATCCAGGACACTTTGTTCTTTGGAACGTTTATCTCGGCTCTGAAGTTCTCAACAAAGGTACGGTCGTGAAGGTTGATACTGTTGGTGTACACCAAATATTCGTTAAATATAGACACTGAGGACCAAAATGACAACTTCCGTAGACATGCAATAACTAAAGATGAGATCTGCGAACCGTTTAAGCAGTGAATGTAGAGGGGTGAGTGGTTGGTATCTATCATCAACTCTAGGGCTTTAACAACAACGGTATAGTCAATGGGGACTTCACGTTTCTTTCTCTTACCCCCTCCTTCAGGCGCACACTCTATGTGTATAAGCTCAATGTTATTATCCAGGACAAACTGATAAAACTCTGAATCTGACTGTGCTGTTATAGGGTCTGGTGTCAGCGATACGATAGTCTTCAGCTCAAGTCTCTTGAGGAAACGGAAGTTGATTGGACGAGGGTACGAACCTCTGTATAAGTTAGGCTGGATTTGTGAGAACCGTAGCGGTGGGACAAGTAAATTTGAGTGTGTATCCATTTGGTGCTGACGTCAATTCTGTCCTGTCATGTATTTAGTTTGTCTTGGTCAGTCTTGTCTAGTCTTTTCTTGAGGACTCAGACCACTCTTCTTTGTCCTTTTCTTTCTTGTCCAAGAAGAATGAGACCCTGCCCTTAAAGGTCAAGCACTTTTTTGGATCCCCTCCAAGTCCCCATCGAGTGTGTGTGTAACGAAAATCACGCCGGAACAGGAAGCCACCCCATATAACTTTTCCCATAAGGTGTAACCTTTTTATATACAGAAGGGAAGGAGTTCGCTCACCACAAACCGAACAAAGAAGATATGGATCTTGTATACGAAGAAGCGGTCAGGGAATCACTGGAAGATTCTCAGGAGACCCTCAAGGCTCAAGAGAGTAACTCTACGGAACCTGTCAATGACATCAACAGAAAGACAGAGGAGTCCTTTCAAAAGTTGGAGGATGAAATCTCAAAGACCTATAACGTCCTGGAAGCACAGGCCTCAACCTGGGGAAGTTGGATATCCACCTCGATCTCTAATCTGAAGGTCAATGACGTTATCAATGAGACCAAGAAACAAGTTGAGAGTCTCCACATCGACGAGAAATTACAAGAGACTAAGAAGTCTCTTGCAAAGAACTTGGATTCCATTCAAAAGCATATAGTCACAGATGAGAACGCTGCAAAGTCCAAAGACATGTTGAACATGCTTTCTCAAAAGACCAACAAGTATCTCGATGATTTGGACAAAGACTTGGAACGGGTCGAAAACACCGCAGGCGCATACGTCTCCAAGTTTGGTCAATTCTTGAAAGAGAACATCCTTGTTGCAGCCCCAGAGGATATGGATGAACTAATAGACGATAAAGATGCAGAATTACTTTTCAACGTTAATGGTACCACTGAAGGTAAATTATCAGCCACAAGAACCGAAGCTCAGCTCTTTACACTTCACACTTCTCCAGATTTGTATCTCACAGAGGACAAGGACCCTGACTTTGAGACGTTTAAGAGCACCTTCGACGTCGAGCAAAAGACTGATGAAATCACCAAGTTAGTGAAGGAGAACAAGAATCTGAAGAAATTGAGCACAGAGCTTGTGCCTGCTAAAGTCAAGTATCCAGAGTTCTGGGCTCGCTATTTCTACATGCACGATAAGATTCTCCAACAAGAGTCCAACCGTAAGAAGTTATTAACAGAAAAGAAATCAAATTCTGACAAAGAGGAGTTGAGTTGGGGGGACGAAGATGAAGAAGATGAGGACAACGATGACACTAAGAAATCATCTACTTCCAGCGAAGGCGGCTACGAACTGCAGTCGGTGGATTCGTCAACAGTTGAGGTTCATAAGAAGGCTAAAGAGTCAAAAACAGCTAGCCCTCTGTCTAAGGAAACCAAGAAGGAAACAGAACAGACCCATGAAGAGCAAGATGAGGACGATGACGATGATGACTGGGAGTGATAAATTACAATTTAACCTTCAATACAAATCAAATAGTACAGATTCCCGTGCTTTCCAATTATTTTACTATGTGCCTATTTTGAATAAGATTAATGCCATATGTACTTGTTATTAATAACTTCTAGTGTAGAACAACACATAACCATTTGAATTTACAACTGAGTTCTTTTGAACATTTTTCATCACTCGTGTGTCATCGAAATAACACCATTTCTTTGTGGTTCCCTTCCATACAAAGGCAGTGTAGTGTCCACTACTCAGAGATCCGGAGTGGTTAGCAACAGCATATAAGTTGTAATTGAAAGGAGGCGACTGTTCTCTGGTTAACAAATGTGAAAGTTGATTCGCCTCTTCAGGCGTCTTCACCTGTGGCCAGAACTTGGTCAAGTTCATTTCGAATGGATAGTCGATGAAAGTTGTGATTTTCGCAAAGCTGGTACCACCTCTAAATCTCTTCAAATGGACGATCAAGTTTTGAGGAAGTCTAGTGATGGTGATCTTCTTTGTAGATTTCCTCAACTGTTTACACTTGGAGCAATGCCATCTATTTTCGCCGTCCAAGACTTCCAGCTTTGTAAATTCTTCAAAACATCTTTCAAGAGGAATTTTGTCAGCCCTTGAGTTAATATACTCCTCAGGTATTGGAATGCTCAACACAGAGAAAGATTGATAAGTTGTGGATGTGGTACCACATTCTAAACATTTCAACTGACTTGCAAATTGACCTTGGAAGAAATACAAGATGGCACTAAAATCCGATTTTAGATAACGTTCCCACTCAATTGTAGAGGCAACTCTGATTGACATTTTCTCCAACTGTTTCTCTTGTTCTTCAGTTGGAGCAGGTTCCCTTGGCTTGTTACCACATTCATTCAAATCTTCATGCAATCCATCCAGTACAAAGTTCAAAAATTCTGATGAGTCCTGCTGATCACAATTTTTAAACATCGGGTTTAATGAACCAACCATAGCTTTAAAATTTCTAGGTTCAAATATGGCATTGTCATTTAAAAGCACTGATTGTGCTAATTGAGCAAAATATGTTGCCATTATACCCTTCGTACCCAACTTACTGTTAACATTGACATGGCTTTTCCAAGTTCCATCAATAAACAGCTTCAATAGCGGAATTGTGCCAAAAAGACACTGAATAATACAATTCATGTAACAAGAGTTACCCATATTAACCAGTCCTGTAGTACAGTATAACTTTGAGAGATCCGTATGACCATTTGTCAAGGAATCCTTTGAATGAGAAATTAAAGCCGGTTTTGGAGATGATGTTCTTTCATTGACTTCTCTCAGTCTTGGTGGTAAAGGTGGTGAACTGATTGGTCGTTTTGGCGGAGTGCTCATAGGTCTCTGTTGTGGTGACATCACCAACTTTTGTTGTGGTTTTGGTGATATAATAACAGGAGACGACGAGGAAGAGAAAGATGGCAGTTTGAAACTACTCGATCTCCGAATTGGTTTTTGCTGTTGTTGTGGTTCATATAGATGCTGTGTGCTATGCTGTTGAGAAGAATAGGAGTTATAGTTTCGAGGCATAGAGGAAGAAGTAGAAGCACTAAAGTCTATCTTTTGAGGATTTGATAAGTAATCCGTAAAGCTTCTTGCAACGTTGTTGTTATCCTTAGTCGCCTGGGATGGTTTTGAAATAGATCTTGTCGGGACTGATAAATCACCGTGATGATGTCCAAAATTTGACAACCCATAAGTTTCAACCCAAGATATGATACCACCTTTGAGGATCACTGGTTCTCTTTTCAAAGGTTTATCGAATGATCTATCTCGTAAGATTTTGTAAATCTTTGCTATCGGTTCATCTGTCAGCCCTTTTGAGCCGATATCGTAAATGATAACCATTTCAAATTGATCTCTCTTTTCAAACAGTTCACGTTCCCTATCTGGAGATGCAAACAGTGAAAGTTCAACATCCTCATCTTTATATCCTTGTCTCACTGCAATTGGCTCTATACAAACGATGTTTGTTGATCTGATATGGTTTCTTCTAAATTCGTCTCTCGCCCTGAAATCGATAAGGAGTACATCGTTACCATATCTATCGATCAAAACCTTTAGCTGATGTGAATCGATAACACCATTATGTTTAAAGTTGAACGGATTTGGTTTCTCTGAATGTTCTAAGATATAGTTCTTAATCCTGTGGAAGTTCTCGTCAGAATGAACGCTTGATTTCAATTCATCATAAACTTCAATATACCCCTTCTTCGTAGTCTCCTTATCCGAAAGCGTAGGTATTACTTGAGATATAAGCTTTTGCGTAGCAGCATAGTAGATGAAAGCCTTCTCATAGTCTAATTGGTCTCCTTTTTTTAATTCCTTCTTGTACTGTTGTTCATCTGTAGTTAGTATTTTCAGTAACACCGGCTTGTTATTGTAGGTAAACTCACGTTCTCAAAACAACCAAGTGAAGTTTCCAAACATTTGGTCATCCTTGATGTATCTGTACCAGCTAAGAATTCATTCACTAGACTTTGTAGCTCACCAATGCTCTTGAGCTTTGTATTTGTACACCCTGTCTGTGTTATTGAGGAGGTCATTCTGTTCAATCCATGTATATACACCTTCTCTCTATCTCCTTCTCCTTTGGTGCAGTTTCTCTTTTTTAGCCAATTATAAGGTGGATATTTGTGATAAACAAATATACAAATGATTACGCCTTAACAGAGTATAAAACTTGAAGCGTTGGAATCATACAAAGATCTAAACGCTGAAAGGCTATGCTGTTGACAATTTATTGTCCTCTCTGGGGCAAATACTCGGTAGAGGCCACAAACACTATATACTTACGAGGGGCGGCAGGAACAAACCACTTGTATTTTCAATATTGGTCTCAAGCATATCTACAGTAGAATAGATATAAACGGAGTAGATTGGTTAAATAGGAATTATACAAGTATTAAATAACACGCGACACATGTCACATAAAGTCTTCTGGACGTTCTTGCTCTTCTGGGATTTTATTACCCTTATCTTGGAGATCTTTGAACCCTTTGTAATTTTCCTTCACAAATTCCTTACCACTGATCTTGTTTTCGATAAAGTCTTCATATTCTTCTTCATTTTTCTTTAATTGTTCCTTTGAGACTGGCTCGTTCAGATTTCTTGAATGGGAGCATTCCCCCTTCGAAGAGTTCCAACGAGCCATAAATGGTAGTTGCTTGGTAACACCAATAGAGCGTGCTAGAGATTTTGATGCGATTTTGAGACGAAGCATTGCGAAATATTACTCCTTGAATAAAGCTTAGAATTAGTACTGAAGGAGGAGAATAAAATGGACAAGGATGTAAAAGGGGCTACCATTGTCCCCCTTTTATACCATCTGTATAGAGAGCAAATCAGCTTTTAACCTTCTAACTCTCCAGATTTGTGGGTTGCGGTTATGCAGGTATGTGCGCTTTGCTAGTAAGTTCCACTATGCTGTTAAAAAGAAACGAAAAAAACACACACAACTACTACATACGCCTTCTTTAAACTCTGCCACCAGAGGAAGCTTTTCTTTTCATAACCATTTACCCCCTATTATAATATAACTAGACCATGGATGGAGAACTGAGACCTTTGAGAACCGATGATTATGATCCTTCATACGATATTAATAACCTATCGAACTATGATTTCGAAAAGTTGACCTTGATCAAATTGGAAGTCGAGTCTGAGCTCCACATATTAGCTAAACGGCTAGAGGCTGTACGTATTAATCTCCACCTGAAAGGCATCAGAACATACAATAATAACTCAAAAAACAGAACAAGGCCGATATGCAAACTCCACTATTGTCATCCGATGGTTTCCCACGTTCCGATATTGACGTTGTGGAAGTGAGGACGACAAGGGTTAAGATTATCAAATTGAAAAACGATTTAAGATCAGTGATGGAAGAAATAAGTTCAAGGTTATTATCACAGTTTCAAACAAACGCCTTTTGTAAGACCTTGGAAATATCTCAAGAGAAACCTGTACCGTTTGCCATTATAACTGAAGTCGTCTCCAATAGTCCCGCGGAATTCTCTGTAAGTATAATTTGTCATCCAATACTTTTGTCACACTCATTTTATATGAACTAACAACTGTTACAAAATTTAGGGTCTAAAAGTACAAGACAAGGTTGTAAGATTTGGTGATATCGACGCTACTAACCATAATGATTTGAGAAATATTGCCCCTTTGGTGAAGAATAAGGTAAACGTGAGTACAAACATCTTCAACATGGCTTTTAAATATGCAGTGACAGTGATACTAATAACATTCAAAAGAGTTCAATTGATATATTGATTCTAAGGGAACTCGAACAGATTAGTATTTCACTGACCCCATCTTCAAATTGGCCTGGACAGGGACTCTTGGGTTGTCGCTTGAACCAAATTAGATAGCTCGTTCGATATTTCTTTTTAATATGATTTTAACCACCATGCAATGTAGAAGTAAATGCTATCACATCACCAGCTTCCAGCTCGTACTCTTCTTCTCCTTCTAGCTCCCAGTCCGTGTCGTTGATCAAAGTCAAAATACCGGGACGTCTTGTTTTACGCTGTTAATACTTATTTTAAAAACATAGCTTCATAGAGAAAAGAAAGACTCACATGGTACCATTCTCCAAGAACACATTGATGTCTTTTTCATCCTTAATCATGTTATCCACAATGTACTTTATTAGGTCTCGTAATTTCACTGGTGATCCATCTGTATTGGATTCGAGTGATATCTTATGATATCTTTCCCCTCCGAAAATGACGTCTAACCCACCACTTTTGCAAGAGTTAGTTCTAAAACCAGTGAAGTCCACTGAACCAGTCTTCTTTATACTCACAGAAACTCTAACTTAACAGGAAGAGACATTATCCTTTTCCTGTGTAATGTAAATATGTATCGAAATTAACTTCAGCATCAGTAGGTGACGATGATCTTTGAATTTTTTTCTCTCGCTCTTTTCAAACCTATTATAGTTCTAATTATCGGATCAACAAAATGTATAATAAGTCCATTTACATGTGTTATAGAATTGCAGATGGGGTTGAAATTATACAAAACTGCTTTTACCGTTTGATACGTAACAAAGTGCACGTTGCAATTGGACAGAATCAAGTTTAAGTATTGTATTTATTCACACATCTGTGGGCTTTTTCCAAATCAGAATTTACAAATTCTCCAACCAACAGTAACAAAACGTGTACCAACATGAAACATAGCCGCAACTAATTCCAACATTGCAGCATAAACTATGAATCCATTGTATCTCTTGATTTCACCATTGCCAATGATAGCACCTGCGACGGGAATGGTAACGAGCATAAGAAAGGATGCAACGAGATACATAGTACTATATCTTTTGCCAAAATCCTCGGTTCTTGAAATCTTACCACAACATACTGGGGAAATACTAAGAGTAGAACCAGAAAAGAACCCATATAATGCAGAGTAGAGATACAAGACACCTAAGCTTGACCCAAAAGGTAACCAGACAGCAAGAGTTGTAATTGCACATCCAACAAGTGTTATTATACAAGTGTTGAAAGGTCCCAACCATTTATCACTAACATATGATGGAAGAAAACGTCCCAGAATTCCCATACAGTTTATCACAGTGACCAAAAGATAGGCATCACTTTCAGAAAAGCCTCTTCTGACTGCATAAGAAGGGAAATAAATTGCAGTAATCATCAATGAACATTCTGCAAGGGCAATTGCCATAGCACAGAAGTCGAAACGTACCTCAGAAAATGACCTATAGTCAAAGACTCCTAGCACGTACATTCTCAAAAATTCACGCCATGAGGAAGTTGGGGATCTTTGTTTTTTTAGCCTTTCTTTTACCAGACATGTTGAACATACAAGAAAGAAAGCACAGATAAAGGAAAGAATCCTCAACGCCCACACAAATCCAACAGCAGGGTATAACTTTCTAAGTAACAATGGGATACTGATACCACCAATGGATGCACCCAAGGTTGCAAGACTAATAGCGGTAGCCCTGTTTTTGTTAAAATAATGAGACACGACGCCAATCAGTGGGCTCATCAAAGTACCACATCCAAATCCAGTGACAATTCCAAAGGCCAATGTAAATTGCCACGCTGTTTCGGCATTTGCAGTTAGAAACAGTCCACAACTAAATGTAACGGTACCGATTACCATCGGGATCTTGGTACCAGTAAAATCGAAAACTGCACCACTGAAGATACTGCAAAAGAATGCAGTGAAATTGAAAATAGAAAAGATCCAACTTACAGTAGATGCTGACACATTAGAAAGTTGATGCGTAGAAATATACGCTTCAATAGCACCAACAGAATTTGGCAGTCCAAAAGCAGGAATCAATCCAAGAAATGAACCAAAGACAGTAATATAAGCTCGAAATCCTCCTTCAGGGAATTCCATGTCTTCTGGGTCAGCACTATCAAGCAGTTTATTCGTAGATCCACCTCTCCCAGTGGATCCATTGCTCTCATGAGAGAACATCCTCCGTACTGATGCAGTGGCGTTGGATGGAATTTCCGTGAGCTCAGAAGCATCCACTTTTGCAGAAGTGATGATTTCAGTCATTGTGTCAACGCTCGAGTATTGAAAACTAGAGTCATAAGACCTAGATCCATAAGACCTTTAGAAGTATGCAAAAGAAATGCCAACTTCCTTGAAAAAATCACAGGGAGTGGTTTTAGCAAACCAGTCGGTATGAATCGGCTTTCGTCGGCAAATCCGATCATTAGAATAATACTAATAAGAATAGCAAACCGGTCTTCAAATTTTCCCAAAGTACACCAAATTGTAGCTAATACTGGAACTGAGAGATATACAAAGCATGAAGATGTAATCTTTACAGTCTTAGATATAACAGTTCAGAGTTTGTGTGGTCTAAGCAAGAAAGACGCATGGTTTTGCTTATATCACAACAACACAAAGTTAAGGAGCTTCAAGACTACCACACACTAGAACTGATTTCTACCATCCTATATACTGACTTTGAACTTGGTTGAATCAGTGGTTCTTTCACAATGAATCAAGATGTGTTGCTCTATATATGTTATTCTGGTTCTTCGTTGCCTTAGCAATTATAAAAATGTAAGGATGTTTCCAATTTTTATAGGCATTGTTTACGTTTTAAATTCTTATCAACACAAAACTGACACAAAACCAATACAGCCTCATACACAAATACATAATGTTACAAAGATTACAGAAGAATGGCCGGGAACAAAACATCAGACAACAAAAGCAGAAGCCCTAGAGGACAACCAAGGAAAAGACCAAGGACTCTTCATGGAACTTTCCAACGACGTCCTCAACTTGAAGAAGAAACATCAGCCACTAATCCAGAACCACAGCGGCAACTTCAAACGAATGGAGCTATGACACAACAAGAGTACGCACTAATTATTGAGACAGACTAACTCACCTACTATGAGAACAAGATACGGAACCAATAAACCTCCAAGTTCTGTGCAAACTACCCATGCAGAGATCACAACTTACCACAACAGCGGGACTTGGATTAGTATTATTCTACTATGTTCACATCATACACACGCTTGTGACTACATATACGAAATCTTACGCTACAGGTTTAGAGGGCTCTTTAGGCGTTGATTTCGTTACTTTCAAAATCATCATCCTATCACACGAGGAACTGAGCAACAATCTCAATACCTGACGGGCCGTGCAGTGCAAGTTGATCGCAAAGGTAGCGATGATTCGAGATTTACCGGAGCGTTAGCGAAGGTCAAAATCGTGTTCATCGTACAGAGGCACTACAGATCAACTTGTAGCCTTAAATAATACACTTCCATTTCCATAGTATTCAAGAATACTACTCGGTGTTTTCATTCAATGATCGACATATTGGCACTGGAAAAGCATTCATATAACCTCTCTAAAGTTCACAGGTGTCTGAAAATTTTTATTCAACTGCAATCTGGCTTGTGTTTCTGTGTTTCTGTGGTGTTATTTAACCCACATAAACTATTTTCCATGATCAAACAAATATACCATAAAAATCACATTATGTTACTACTCACAATCAATCATTCCAAATTTGGCAACTGGAATACAGATATTCATCAATGATTCACAGCTATGAGCTGAGTGGGGTGTGTGTTTGTTTAAATATTACAACTCTTGTCATGTCTCAATCTATCAATATTCAGGTGAGAATTAATCTCATGAATCACTTAGTCAAATGAACCTACTGCACGGTCAAAGAATCATTAGAAACCTGTTAAGAAGAGTAAAGACGTCTTATCTGTATCAAAACAGAGAAGGTTTCCTGAGAATAGGAGTATCAACAGTTATTAAGTCGAGACATATCACCACATACCCTAGATATCCTCGTGTTGGTAAGTCATTTTATAATTGTTTTCTAAATATTCACAGTTCAGAATATAACTAGTAAAAACGAACAAAGACAAAAATAAAAACAAAAAAAAAAAAAAAAAAAAAAAAAAAAAAAAAAAAAAAAAACCGAACAACAAAAAAAAAAAACATGAAACATGTTCATTTATCCGAGTACATGAAATTAATTAAGATTCAAACTACAACTTAGTATATCCTGAGCAGAACTGCAGAGATTACATCACTTCATTCTCTAAGTTCTAGATATATGAATATAAATATTCGCCCGTCTGAAAATCATCTGCTGTAAATAAAATCAACGACCAAATGTAGTATCAGTGGTGCGTTACTTTTTAAATTCCAACATTAATATCGGTTCTCTAATCACAAAGATATAATTGAAATAAGAAGAAACTATTTAACGTTCGTTTTTTCTTTTCGAAAATTAAAAGTTTCCAAACATACAACACATAAAAATATGTATTAGTTTTATGAATTCTGAACGGTTTTTAGCTTAAAAACTGTGTTCCGTTCTCTTAAAAGCTGAGGTATGTTCAAAACAATACCCTAGTTAGACTTTACGGTACGCTTTGTCATCATATACAACAATAATTAAATCCATATGAAAGGGCTTTATAACAAAGGCGTCCATTAAAGCTCTAGCATAACTTCATCAGTAATGATTTTTCCTTTTATAGCCAATTATTTCAAGTCCTGAATACAGACATAGAAGGAAAAACAACTGATAGAAGGCGAGTAATTTAATTCATTAACTATGCTCTAACGGAGTACTAACAAAATTAAATTGGAAACATAGCCTTTCCTGACCTCAAATTTAATATCAGACATATAACAGTCATGTTTTCTTTATTGGCTGCATTTCTGTCTATTTTAGTTCTTTTTCGAGTTTGGGTATTGCTATTTCAAGTGGGTTTTATTCATTTTGTATAAGTTTGAAACCGTCGAAAGATATACGTGATAACATATGTGTGAAACTAAATAACCCAGAATAGATTTTAATGTAAATGTTTCCTTAGAATGATTAAGAAAAGCTATTATTGAAGAATATAACACCAATAGGATTGTTTATATTAGATCAGCTACTTGCTTATGAGAATGAATACAATTTCACTGGGATCAAAAAATATATCTGAAAGTTAGGATACGTAATTAATCAACGTTTTGTATTTTTAATAGAATATTTATTTATTTCCGTGTAAAGTTTTAGTGGGGGATTGTCGTTTATCCAATGCTGTTGAGCTCAGTCTTGGAAGATGTATATACTCCAATTAACTCATATAACAAGGTATTTCAATAGGCACGAATGTTTTTGAAAACAGAAGTCGTGCAAATAAGAATTATTGTATGACCAGATTTGAGGTACGTTAAAGTATATTGGGGCTAAATTTGAATATTGAAGGATAGGTTCCCTTTATGTTTTTTGCTAGATGAAAATTAGTTAACAATATTTGCTATTCATTTCTAATTTCTTGAAAGTAGTTAGATTTGATTCATAATAGCTATCTTTATTGTGTTTTTAGTGTTTTCTTTTTTTTTCTTTTTTCGGTTTTGTTTTTTGTTTTTTGTTTTCTGTTTTGTTTTTGTGTTTTTTTGTTTTTGTTCTTGTTTTTGATTCATGCTGACCCCCTCATTTGCAATATATCTAGAAATATTACCGTACGTGTAAATCCAATACCAAAAGTGTGAACTATAAAATAGAGTTTCCTATTCTAGGGCAAGATTTCT